GAAGCTCCTCTCACCTCCTACACAGGAGACGAAGAGTCTTCAGTGATGGTTCCGCGAGCAGCTCTAATCGGTCGATGTTGCTGCAAGCAGCTCTCATCATCCGAAGCTCCTCTCACCTCCTACACAGGAGACGAAGAGTCTTCAGTGATGGTTCCGCGAGCAGCTCTAATCGGTCGATGTTGCTGCAAGCAGCTCTCATCCCCTGAAGCTCCTCTCACCTCTTGTGCAGGAGAAGAAGAGTCTTCAGTGATGGTGCCGCGAGCAGCTCTCATCGGTCGATGGTGCTGCAAGCAGCTCTCATCATCTGAAGGTCCTCTCACGTCCTGCAGAGGAGAAGAAGAGTCTTCAGTGATGGTTCCGCGAGCAGCTCTAATCGGTCAATGTTGCCGCAAGCAGCTCTCATCCCCCGAAGCTCCTCTCACCTCGTGCACAGGATCTTGTGCAGGAGAAGAAGAGTCTTCAGTGATGGTGCCGCGAGCAGCTCTCATCGGTCGATGGTGCTGCAAGCAGCTCTCATCATCTGAAGGTCCTCTCACGTCCTGCAGAGGAGAAGAAGAGTCTTCAGTGATGGTGCCGCGAGCAGCTCTCATCGGTCGATGATGAAGGAAGCAGTTCTCATCATCCGAAGCTCCTCTCACCTCCTGCACAGGAGAAGAAGAGTCTTCAGTGATGGTGCTGCATGCAGCTCTAATCATCTGGAACTCCTCTCACCTCCTGCACAGGAGAAGAAGCGTCCCGAGTGATGGTGCCGCTAGCAGTTCTCATTGGTCTATGGTGCCGCAAATAGCTCTTATCCCCGAAGCTCCTTTAACCTCCAATGCAGGAGAAAAGAGTCCTGAGTTATGGTTCCGGCACAGCTTTCATAGTTCACAGAGACACACGGATCGTATTGTAACGCTTTGAAGCAGAACAATGGGAAGCCACCACGATAGTAAAACAAAGAAAGAAGCAACTCAATCCCAAAATGCCACCTTGTTTCTGCAACTCTAGGACAGAGACGTTGCACTATAATGCTGCTGAGAATCGTTTTATTGTTCTAACTTCAATGTCCATCTCATCTTTGCTCAGTCCTCTCATGTTATTATCAATGTTTTGCTTTGGATCATTTTGTGTGCCATGACTGAGTTCTATTAGTGTCTGAGGGCGGTCGCCTTTGGAGGAAGGGCCATAGGATAATTTTTTCCCTCTATATAAGTAAAAAACTTAAACAGGCCAACAGAGGGTTTTTCGATCCTATACTAACAGAACTCTCGATCATGGGAAATCAATGACCTTTGGGTGATCCACTGTTATAGAATCTCATCAATCGTCATTTCAGCCAACGTACTGGAAAAAACTCAAACTTAGCCATATTTAGAAAGATTGAGTTGTTGTAAACAGTCACGTAGGATCTAAGAGTCCAGGGTACTAAGTCATATGATGTCTGTGTGAACTCCATACAGACTTTGCATGACACACTTTAAGAAAAATGCCCCGTTTTGTATGAAATGCTGGAGTTTTCTATGAATTTTCTGATTGTGACTTGTATAATGCAGATGTGTAAATAAACCTCCCACATTGGCCTGATAATTTTGTGTGATAATTTGGCCAGAGCAGGAAAAAGCACTGTGAAGACCTATTTTTAAATGTTTACTATTTTTCTTGACACAAAACAAGTGCCATTTTGGAGGGTGAAACATATTTGAAAACACACCAAACTTTACTCAGAATTGTCGACTGTCAAAATGGGTGTGGCCAAACAGCTCTACAGCTCCCCCTACTGTGAAATAGGCAACATGGTGAATCACAGAAAGATGAAAATTACTCTGTAGGTAGTTCTCCCCGAAGCACCAAAACAGTCTGTTGGAGGTATGCTCTAAACCCAACAGGAAGTCAGCCGTTTTGGTCCATTGGTGATTTTTGGACATTTTTGACTTTTTAAACATGTCAAACTTTAACAAACTCCTCTCAGGTATTTTGAGCTATCAGCATCATACTCGATTGAGGATTAAAAGCTATCAAAAACATGAGTTTTTGTGAATGTCAAAGAGAGGCAGGAGCAGGTCCTGATAGTTTGCCTTCTCTACAAAAATTTCAGAAACCTCTACATTTTATGTTCACCTCCTTTTATTCTGATGCAGCTGGTGCCAATGAGAAGTTGAATGACAATTATCCCTTACACCGACCAAACTTAAGGTGTAAATGTTATATTAAATTGCTGAACATTTAAATTTAAGATTTAATTTGCAAGTTTACTGTGTAAAACTGTAAAGAATCACCTTCATAGTTTGATTGCTGTTACAACAGCTACAATCTGATTCTTTGAGTTTAATCTTAGTTTTTTAACTCTGTTTGTTCACAAATTCATCTCAGCAAATAATTAACTATTATCAATGATTGCTTTTAAGCATGGCCAGTTAATCCTGGCCCCCTCTCCCAGATTACATTAAATCTGTATGGAAACGCTGTTACTGGTGGAGATGTTCTTAACAGGAAGAGGGGCCCCTAAATCAAATCTTTCTTAAGGCCCCATACAACCTTGGGCCGGCCCTGCATGACGAGTTAAAGCTGCTGCACAGTACAACTCTGCTGGATGTGAGAGTCAAACAGGAAGATTTCATTTAAGTGGCACTACTAGAGACAAGACATTGTGTAATATTTTACTTGGCTCCTGATGGCGAAACCACAAACAACAACTTACTTTCCTGGATTCCTGTGAATGAAAAGGGGCGGAGCCTCACAGAGAAGGTAAGTCAGGTAGAAAAACAAACACTTAAGTTGTTTAGACTCCATTTTGTCGGGACGGAGGAGAAGAAAGAAAACCTAACTGATTCAGGTGAGAGTTACTTCTTGTTTTTCTTTCAGAGTCTGCAGCACTTTGGTTCATATGTTTACCTGAAGCTGATCACACTGCTCAGATACAACAACTGTTAAACCAATCAGAGTCCAGATCAGGCTCGAGTGTCAGTGTTTTGAATTGCAGTTCAGATCTTTGTCAGCTGGAGATCGGACTGACGAAGAAACTGCAGAAATCCAAACTGCAAGTTCAATAAAACACTCTGAACACATCTGCTATCATAAACTGAATCTGGTGTAAATTATTTTTCACATCTTCTTTGAGGATTAACTTAAACCAGCAGACTGAGAATCAGAAAGTAAAAAACTTTCTACACCTGGATAGAGCTGCTTGTCTTGATCATGTGGTTGTGATCTGGCTGAGGATGGGACAGGTGTAAGGTTGAACGATTTTGGTTTCTACATTAGAACAGCAGTTAGACCAAGGTTCAGTTCAGGGCATGACTACAGGAGCAGGGCCGTTGCTCGCCATTCAGGGGCCCTGAGCATAAAAAATTTGTGGTGCCCTCCTGTCTGAACAGAATGACCAATAATTCATTATTTTTCTTTGCATTTCAAACTATTTAAAGGTGGAGAATTAAAGCTAACTAAGTCAACAAATTATAAGAGGGATTAAGTGAGGAAATAAGTAAATATAATGAATTAAATGTAACAGTGGAAAGTGTAATATATAACTCATCTTTATAAGCTGCTCTTGTGATTAGACTTCCTGTTTTCACATGTGTAAAACGTCAAAAAGGTCTGACTTTACAAAGGCATCTGATTCATAATCATAACAGATATTGTTTTCCTTGGGAAGATTCAGGAGGAGTTTATTAAAACCAGAAAATCTTCAAAGTTTGACAGACTTTTTCACATCAAGTTAAACAATTATTTTAGATGGTCAAGCTTTAATAGTGCTGTTATAAGTAAATCAGTTTTTGAAGCAGAACAGATGTAACGTGGGATAATTTTTCATCTTTGTTGATTTATCTTTTTTTATGTTTTTAATTTGTTCACAAATATTGTTGCTTGAGAAGTGCACACACATAATTTATTTGAATACATTATGATGAATTATAATGGTTCTTAGGAGCCTGTTTGTTTTGTCCTACATGCAGTTCATCATTTGCACGGCTAGAAGGACACAATGCAGCACCATTATAATCTGACCACATATTTGTCTTAGTAAACAGCCAAAATATTACTACTTACAGGTAATTGACAAACAAATCTAAGGAAATGCAGGCAGAGATACTCTCTTCCCATCTTATGTGTGTAGATGTAAACACAGAAACCTCATTGTTTATGGTGAGAATGAAATCTGATCTTGGACCACGCAGTTACCAGGTAAATGCTATAAGTTTGACCTAAACGTCTTCCCTAGCCAGGTTTGCATTGCATTGTGGGATGCAGTGAACAAACTTAAAGACAATGATGGTTTCATGAAGCCCAACATGTAACTGGGAACACTTCTCAGATCATTTTACCTGAAGTTAAACCCAGAATGACACCAATGATTTAATCCTTTATGTTTTCACCAGTTCAGAACACAGTGGGTCTCATGTCCATAGAATAACTAACCAATAAACAGACTGAATGTTTCACCTAGTTTGTAGTGAGAGGTGCAGATTTGCTTGGAGAGTCCTCTGAGTGAAATTAAACTGAGTTATAAGTTAATGAAATATCACTGATTCTGTCCACAGTAAACAAACTAAAGGTGTGGAAACTCCCTTAGATTCTGGTTCTACAACTAAACTTCCTCGCAAGGTGTGAACAAGTTCAGTACAAAATGCAGACAAATCACAACAGATAAGCATAAATATTTCACACTAAGCTTCAAACTACACTCAGTGTGTTTCTGTTTTCCTCTCAGAGTGACCAAAGCCCAGAAGATGGAGGTTCATGTGGAGGAACAGGAGGATAACTCCAGCAGTTCAGCCAACGGGAACAGACCTGAATCCTCAGATGTAAAGTAAGACACCTCAAACACAAGTTGTATTTTCTGAACATTTTTTAATCCAAACTTGCATATGACAGGATGCACATGAGCTCTGAGCAATCTGACCGGTTTCCCCACATGTAATTTACTTTGTTTCCTTTTTGTTCCTGGATCAGGAGCAAAGCTCTTACCATCAGTCACAAACCTCCCCTAACTCTGGGTCTTGACCTTTCAGCGCTCCATAAAATCACTAGTGCACAACAGGGCTACCCTATAACAGTCTATCACATAAAGCTTAATCATTCTTGTGTTGTAAAACACTTGAAAATGTTAGCTGGGTTTTTTTTCTCCATTACAAATGTGATCTGAACGACATGACTGTGTTTCAGAGGTCAGAGCATCAAGTGGAGAACAGAGTCTCCACAATCTGACAGTGTATCTATGAAGAGTGAAGCGTCCATCGATACACATCCAGATTTCAGTGACCAACCTCGACCCTCCAACACAAAGTGAGAAAACCTGCTGCTTTTATTTTCCAAATCTTAAATGACTTCTACCTCTGCTGTGACATTTTCTGTTTATTTGTATGTTCCTGTATTTGGTAAAAAATAAAATAAAATAAAATGTTGAGTTTATACATTTGATTTTAAATTAGGATGAGAATTCACTGCTGACAGCAGTAATAATTGTTAATTTTGTGTTTCTTGTAATAGGTTTAAAATGTGTGTGTGTTTTCTTTAAACATCATTTTTCACAAATATGAACATTTCAAGTAAGAAAATGTATCCACCATGTTTTTCCAAAAGTTTTATTTTAAAACCTAAAAATAGAAATAAAATGGTGATTAAAACTGATTACATTTCTCTAGTAGATATTTATAAAAAAAATAGGAGTCATAATTTTTCAACAGGTTTCATTTTCAGCTTTTATTTAGCTGGACTGAGGGAAACATTGGCCCTCAGTCCAGACTCTTAGGCTAGACCATTTAAGATTATAGCTTATAGTTTGATTATTGTTCAAATGTTACTATATGAGGTAAGAGTCTGTTTTCTATGTGTTTGATTTTCTAATATATTTCAGAAAATAATCAATTACCAGGGGTCACTTTAAAAATCAAGAAATGTAATTTAATTTAAACTAAGTGACTGATGTGATCTGAACAAAGCGTTTGTGTTTCAGAGATCAGAGTCAGAGATCAGAGTCTCCACAGTCTGACTGTGTATCTATGAAGAGTGACGAGTCCATCTATGAACCTCTAAATTTCAGAGATCAACCTCGACCCTCCAACACAATGTGAGAAAACCTGCCGCTTTATTTTCCAAATCTTAAATTTATGTTCCTATATCTATCCATAAATAAAGTGTTGTGTTCACATATTTGATTAGAATAAGATGTCTGTTTTGGACATTTTTAGGAACATTACGTTACATTTTCACTCAGTGAACCTCCCCGGTTGGTTTTCTGGACTATTTTTACCCTCCTCTTATTTCCACTGAACCAGAAAGTACCAAACCAGCATAGATTTTCTGTCAATTGTGACCTACAGTTAGCTGTTGTCCTTATCTAATCTTCTCACGGTGTAACTGATATCTGAAATGATTCGGTTCTTCATCAATAATGATGACAAGATGTTTTTTTACAGAGTGAGGAAGATGAGTGTTTGTGTGGAGGAGCAGCTACCCGCGGGTGCTTTGTGTAGAGATGTTTTGAAGGATCCAGTTTCTACCAGCTGTGGGCACTGGTTCTGTACACAGTGCAGTGCCTCACACTGGGACCAGTTGGTACCAGCAGGGCCTTCCTCCTGTCCCCAGTGTGGAGAAAGGTCCAGAAGAAATGACGGACTGCAGAGAGACAGTCAAGGCAGCTCTATGCCAGGTAAGACCTGTTTAACTCCAGGAACAGAAACTTTTGTCATGCAGCAGTAAGAGTTATAACCCTTGTGAAGGTTTATCAGAGTTAACTCCTAACAACACTGAATAAGAAAATATAAAAACAATAAAATCCCCTACTAGGGGATTGTGTTGAAATTAAGAATTTGGTTTACTATGGGTTGTTTGGTTTTTTATGCTGTTCTCCTTGGAGGCTGATGTTGTATCTGGTACTGCACATAGATACCACATAGGGAGGGGGCAGGGTTGTCCTTTGGTAAGCAGTCAAACCTCAAGCAGAACCCTCCATCTGGGTGGATCCATCATAAGCTTGAGAGTTGATGGTTCTGTGCAGTATTTTAGCAGAACTTGGGACTACTGTCTTCTGGACAGAGAGAGATCACCTCTGCATTCTGATGCAGTAGCTCCACTACTTTGGTTGTTGAAGCCCTAAGAGGACCTATGACCAAATTTACCACTGAGGCCTTGACTCTCCACAACTTATTTATTTCTTCTTAGACCTTGATCTTTTTCATGTTTCAATTTTCTCATGTTACTTCTGCACATGCAGGGAAATCTCTGAAGATGTGGTGGGAAATAAAAAGTGACACATGTAGTGAAAAATATTGAGAAAGACCCAACATAAAAGATCTGAACATGTTATTTAAACTATTTTATGTTACTTCAAAAAGTGTTTTTTATTTGTTCCGTTTTTTCAGTATATTTTGGTCTACATGATGTTTTAGAGGAACATAAGAACAGACTAAGGATGAGATGTGAATATGTGACTGAAGGAAGTGATGAAACAGGAAGTAAAACCCCTTTCAAGAGGATCTTCACTGATCTATACATCACAGAGGGTCAGAGTGAAGAGGTTAATGCCCAACATGAGGTGGAGCAGCTGGAGAGAGCTTCCAAGATCCAGAACCTCCATGACTCTCCAATCAGGTGCCATGACATCTTTAAATCCTTCCCTGACCAACATGGAGCCATCAGAGTGGTTCTGACCAACGGCGTCGCTGGTGTTGGAAAAACCTTCTCAGTGCAGAAGTTCACTCTGGACTGGGCCGAGGGCTTGGAGAACCAGGATGTCAGTGTGGTGGTTCTGCTGTCGTTCAGGGAGCTGAACCTGATCAGAGATCAGCAGCACAGTCTTCTCTCGCTGCTCCATGTTTTCCATCCAACACTCCAGAAGCTCCCAGCAGAGCAGCTGGCTGTCTGCAAACTGCTCTTCATCTTTGATGGCCTGGATGAAAGCAGACTTTCACTGGACTTCAGCAGCAGGCAGCTGGTTTCTGACGTCACACAGAAGTCATCAGTCAACGTTCTGCTGACAAACCTCATCAGGGGGAACCTGCTTCCCTCGGCTCTCATCTGGATAACTACCAGACCTGCAGCGGCCAATCAGATCCCTCCTTCATGTGTTTCCAGGGTAACAGAAGTACGAGGCTTCACCGACGCCCAGAAGGAGGAGTACTTCAGGAGGAGGTTCAGTGATGAAGAGCTGTCCAGCAGAATCATCTCCCACATCCAGACCTGCAGGAGCCTCCACATCATGTGTGGAATCCCAGTCTTCTGCTGGATCACTGCTACGGTTCTGGAGAACATGTTGACCTCAGAGCAGAGAGGAGAGCTGCCCAAGACCATGACTGACATGTACTCACACTTCCTGCTGGTCCAGACAAAGAGGAAGAACAAGTACCATGGAGGACATGAGACAAGGCAACAGGAGCTGATGGAGGCTGACGGGGAAGTTCTTCTGAAGCTGGGGAGGCTGGCGTTGGAACATCTGGATAAGGGAAAATTTTTGTTTTACCAAGAAGACTTTGAGCATTGTGGCCTTGATGCCACAGAGGCCTCAGTGCATGTGGGACTTTGTACAGAGATCTTTAAACAAGAGAAAGGCATCCTTCAAAAACCAATTTACTGTTTCGTTCATCTGAGTATTCAAGAGTTTCTAGCTGCAGTTTACATGTTCAACTGTTTCACAAAGAAAAATACAGAGGTGCTGAACAAATTCCTGGGAAAAACATCCAGTGAATTATCTCTGGCAGACTTCATGAAAGAAGTTGTAGAGAAGTCACTCAGAAGTGAAAATGGCCACCTGGACTTGTTTGTTTGCTTCCTCCATGGTCTCTCTGTGGAGTCCAATTGGAGACTACTGGGAGGTCTGTTGAGTCAGACAGAGAACAGTCCAGAAACCATCCAGACAATCATCAAGAATCTGAATGAGATGAACACTGAGGACATCTCTTCAGACAGAAGTGTCAACATCTTTCATTGTCTGATGGAGATGAAGGACCTTTCAGTTTATCAGGAGATTCAAGAGTTTCTGAAGACTGAGAAAAGATCCAGGATGAGACTGTCTGAGATCCATTGCTCTGCTCTGTCCTGGATGCTGCAGATGTCAGACGAGGTTCTGGATGAGGTGGACTTGTGGAAGTACAGAACATCAGAGGAGGGACGGCGGAGACTGATCCCAGCTGTGAGGAACTGCCGAAAGGCTCGGTGAGTCCAATGAGTTAGTTCCTAATAAACCTGCTCCCTTTTAATGGGTGGACGGATGTTAAATGCATTCTTTATTTTGCTTCTTTTAGTTAATTTGTTTCCTTGCAAACCACTTTTGTCCAATTTGTAAGGTTTAAATGTGATTTTATGCAGAAGGTGCCATTCTGGCATTGACAGCATTGTAAATTGAAACAAAAAACTAGGTTTCCATTAAAAGTATGGGGATCTATTTTGGTCATGTCAAACACACTAAAATAGCTTGAGATTAACCATGGATGTGATGTAATGTTTACCACATCACTGTTTGGTCAGCATGTTATTTAATTGTGTGTGTCTGTCAAATAGATGAACATATTTAATTTTAAGCAATCATTTTGTCTAATTACAGGTTAGTTAGATGTGGACTCTCAGATACTCACTGTGAAGTTTTGGCCTCAGCTCTGAAGTCCAATCCCTCCCATCTGACAGAACTGGAGCTGAGCGTTAACAACAACCTGAGCGACTCTGGACTGAAGCATCTGTGTGCTGGGCTGGAGAGTCCAAACTGCAGGCTGCAGGCTCTGAGGTCAGCATACTAAAACTTTTGTTTTCTCCTGAAAGTATTTCATTTTGAAGTGTATTTGAATTGGAAAAGTAAATGTATTACCTAAAATGCACAAAGTAAGCAAGCATTTTTGCATGCTTAACTAAATATTCTTAGGCTACAAAACTGAAGTGATCCAGCAGCCACTGGATCATTTCTCAGAGGATGCTGCATCACACATGCAGCAAAGGTACACAGGAACAATTATTCTAAAAAGGTATAATTATTTGTTTTTCAGTCATGTTTATGTGTTACACTAATTTAGAGAAATGTAATTGTAGCCTCTGTTAATTTAAATAAATATCTTGGTACCACTTAAGTTCTACTCATAGCAACCATGAAAATGGATTCAATCAATCAATCAATCAATCAATCAAATTTCATTTGTATACCACATTTCAGCAGC